CATACTTCGAGTGAAGTACATCGATTTCGTCTCCAATAAGACAGTCCGCACTCGCTGTGCTAGTATCGCGAAGATATCTCAGACCATCATCGGAAGACGACTGAGGTGATTTGAATACATTACCCGTCGTCTGTCTCATCAGCGTAGTGTTGCTTCCGACCTAGCGACGTCGAAGAGGGGGCCAAGTAAAAGCTTGGTTTAGCTCGACACAGGTTTTGAGGCATGTTGGTGGTCCTTGGACCTTCTGCGTTCGGTCCCCGTAGCTGCAGATTGAGTCGAACTGTCCGGATACGATGATGCGGGTCATCAAGCAGGGAGTTACAATCGGTGACATATTCGAGGCCGATTAGGTAATTTATGACCAAAACTGCGTCGGGTACAAGAAGCGTTCATTCTAGTGTTCTGCCTTGGCCTATTTATCAGCATTAAAGTCGCCACTTACATCGCAAGGAAACATTCAGTACAAATAACTTACTACCAATTGGCGAATAGTCTGATAAAAATGTCAAAGGATGTCAACATGGTTAATCTTTAGTTAACTTTGTTGTCATTTTCCGAAATTAGTTGAAGGAATCGTTGTTCCGTCGCCTGGCTTAGGGCGTCTAAACAGACCAGTGTTGGGTTCATAAGCTAATCCACTAAATATTAGGTTAGCTACATAGTTACTGACCGGTATCCAGAAGAATTAGAAATCTTCCCTTTTAATACTGGACCAGGGTTACGAAGTGCGTCAGTTCCCACATATGCCGTAACATATACCGACACTTTATGTCACTTCAGGGGAAATTTAGAGGCAGGCCGATACCCAAAAACCGTTCACGATATTGTTCTAGGTTGTCTATTCCAGCGCTTATTGCTCCGAAAACTAATTACCAGACATTGTCGGCAGGCCAGTTGATTTAACGGCGATCGCTGATCGCCATGTCATGGTACCATGATTGGGTTTTGCAGTTGGCTCCTCAGACATCCGCGCCCGCTACCATTGTCGCAGCTGGTCCGTTACTGCTTATTTTGCAGCCGGTCCACTATCCGCCACATAAAGATACACCAAGTAGCTAGGCTAACGGGTAGCATGTCTTTCCCGAGGCTGTTATCTTTTATGTACTTATTTTATATTAACTCCTGGCTCTTATCCGCTCACATTTATTTTTAGATTGCTCCACCGACATATCCTTGGCGTCAAAACTCGCATTACAATGGTCTGCGAAAAATGTTGGTTCATCTGCTTTTTTATTCATACTCATATCTATCGTCTAGGTGAGAAGAAGTTGGGCCGGATTGCCACACCCGATCCATGGAAGGCCGGTGCCCGCAATGTGGTCAAGGGAGGCCGCAAGTTGAATGAAAACAAACTCCTGAGTGGCTCAAAGAGTCGCTTTAATCCCTACACAAAGTCCTTTCGAAAGTGTCGGATCTGCGCACAGAGCGTGCATCAGCCCGCCTGTCATTACTGTCAGGCCTGTGCCTTTAAGAAGGGCATTTGTGCCATGTGTGGTGTCAGACTGGTCAATACCACTAGCTATAACCAGAGTTCTGTCTAATTTTATTTTTGTGTAATGCTCACAGACGTTTTTTCTCTTTCTCTTTATTTTGGCGCCTTTGTACTGCTGTAAAGTTTTGCTCACGACAACCGCCTTGCCTTCATTTGAATAAGTCGAGGTTTCATTGGCTGCCCTCACTGCTATAGTGAGAGTTGAGTTGCAACTTAAGTAATTATTCAAAGACACGCGGTTGACGGCCGGTAAAATCAAAGAGATTAGGTTCAGGAAGCAGTTCAGGCGAAGAAGAATTTGTGATCACTGGAACAGGAAGTTTATTAGCTGGACGTTTCGAGTTCTCACTCGGACCCATCTTCAGACGGCCACAGAAAGGAATAATAGAAGTATTTATAGGACGCAGTTGCCGGTCTATCAGATGCTTAGAATAAATAGGAGTACTTGCGATCGTCACTTGAGGTCGTAGATGACGCAATGTTTGATTGTTAATCCGAAACAGAGTCGTTAGTGGTCGTGGTTTCATCCACCTTTTTGGCGTAATGGTGGCTGTGCCATTTGGCCAGCTGTCACCGGAACCGTTCGTCACCCGCATTTCCACGGTCCAGACAAAATCGCATTGCGCTTGTTAATCAAAGGTGGGCCAGAGAACCAGGACTGAAGCATTTCGTGGTGCACGTGGTTGTCACCTCTTGTGCTTACCTGGCAACTGCATCCTATTTATAGTGCGCTTCCTGTACCCTTATTCCCCTTTTCTGTGGTTGTCTCTTATATTGACTTCGCTCATAAGTCCAGCACGTCAGGCCAGTAAATTTATTGTTCTACTGGTCGCAGCTGGAAGGTGCAATATCTTTTTTGCCCCTGCCCTCAATAAATCGTAGTAAGTGATATAATTTCTGATATTAGCTAGCAGAGAAATCCTACAGTAAGGAACTTGTGCGAAGGAATCAGACCCTTCCTTCAGAATTGGTTAGCAACAGTAACGTCTAAATGTGACCCGGTCATGACAGCAGTCGACTACAGGTCGGAAGCATCGTAATATCCCAATTTGCTTATTTCCAACGGAAGATCCTTTGGCACAAAACAAGTGAGGAAGGCAGGCTATCTACAAATATCATAGATACCGATCGTAATATGCCATCTAATGACAAGAGGGCAATTTTGATTTCCTTCACTTATTTAGTAACTTCAGTGCCTACTTCTTTTAGGCGTGGAGCTTACTACGAGGGAATCTTTTGTTACAAATAATTGGGAGTCTCTCCAGTCTCTCGTGAGTGCTAGGTCGTTTCCTGTTTGACTATCTGAGGAACGTACATTTTCATACTTCCCCAATTAACTCCCCACAGAGAAGACGAGTGCAGTCCGTTACATCAGAGAGGGATTCTGTTGGGCCACTGACATGATGTCTTCAGTCATCTTTTGGAAGGGTCGGCTATGGACGGATGATACAGGGCAGCCTTTAGGTTTTTGAAAGTAGTCTGGCTGCCCGCGTCATATTCTGCATCGGTGGGTACATTAGCCCTTCAGATCGTGCGGTTTCGGGACTGGTCGTTTTGGAAGGAAGCAGCATTGTTTATGCATCCATAGTTTCTTACTCAAGGGCAGATTTCAGATCCATGGACAAGATTTCTGAATTACTGTTAGGGCTAGAACCATATTTTTGTACTAAACTTATCAGATGGTGGAGGTCATACTGTTTTCGCTTTCGCAGCCACAGGCCTCCTAACGTGCTAAGAATCAGGGAAGTGCGGTGCTTTGTAGACTTTAATTCACACACACACAGGTGGTCAAAATGCATCATGCTTGTCTGTACACGCTCCTGGACAGGACCGGTTGAGACCTGATTATGTCCATTCTAATGTCTGAAAAAATTATTGGTGCATATCAACCGGCGGACTTGCTTCCCACTATTTTTTCAGGAGTCACTTACTTAATGCTAAGCAATTGTGAAGTTGACGTTGTACTCTTAATGCTTTAGATTCTTTCGTGTGTTATTCCGGTTTCGGCCATAACCTAAGCCGTACGGGCCAACCTATCTGGGGTCTTTCTCCTTGAGTGCATACAGTACTGATTTGCCACGTAGATCACATTTTAGGGAGTCCCCGTCCAGTGGTATTCCTCAAACAACCTTACTCTGCCTGTATCGAT